TTAAATCAAATGATTTAAATAAAAATAAACTTAAAATGCATATGTATATATGTATGTGTCTCATGTTTTGATGTGAGAAATTAACTATTTATTAAATAGGACTTAATTAAATGAAAATAATCTGATCACAGCAATATATGTATATATATACATACATATAACTGGCGCTGAAGTGATTTTCGGCCGATCAGCGGAGCAATCAGAGCTGATTTTATTTAATTTAGTTTTTTTTTGCAAGTCCAACTCGATAGTTTTCTTTGTAAAGTGTTATGCATTTATTATTTTAATCTTATTTTTTTTTTGTTATTGCAATCATTAATGTTTTTTCTACTGTCATTTGACGAGATTTCGCATGCATTGGAAAATTCAGTGAAATAAGTCTGCTTTGAAATATTTTTGAGTTTCGCTTTTAATACAATAATAAAAAAAAAACAACTAAATTGCAAAAGACAAAAAAAAAAAGAAAAACAACATAAAATAAAACAAATGAAATTATATTTTGCATTAAAAAATAATTTATTAAATATTTTGAATAGTCAACAAAAATTTCAATATAAATCGATAATAAAATGTAATAATGAATATAAAAGACATGTATGTATATGTGTATGTATAAATTACATACATTTAGTTGCATACGCACTTCTTCTGCGGCCGAGTGGGCATGTGTGTATGTATACATTTGCTTTTAAATATTCCCGTTACATAAAAATTGTTGAAGAATTCATTAAAAGTAATAATGCATTTTTTAATGTTGTTTTAATATAGACAAAATCAACTAAAATATTTATCTAAATTACATTAATAGAATATATGTAAGTATGTATGCATTTTTGTGTGTATACAAAAGGTATTGGTTTCGCATTTTTATGCTGCTGAGCTTTAAAAAAAAATTTCGCTTATTTTTGAATAAAAAATTTGACGAAGAATTCAACATTTCCACATTTGCTTTTTTTTCTTTTCACTTATTTAGTACATACATGATGTATATGCATGTATTTGTGTGTTTTTTTTTCTTTTCTCATTAATTTTAATTGCAATTTGTTGCATAAATGCTTTTTTCTTTTTGTTGGAGTATAAAAATTGATCAAGTTATAGGTATAGAGACGATATATAGGTATGCATGTATGTAAGTAGGTGCATATATAAAAACTATATGCGTGTATTTGTGTGTGTGTGTGTGTGGTGAATGTTACATTCTCTTTTGTCATAAGCGAACCTACACACACTGGGCTTATAATCAATTCACTTATAATTTTAACTTTTTCATACGAATGTACATATGTATGTGTATATGTATTTCATTAATTTTTTTTTTTTATAATTTTGATTAATTCCACAAAAATTGGAAAATTGAAAAAAAATATAATAATTTTAGTAAAAAAAAAAAAAAATAAAGGTGTTACATATTTACACACTGTAAATTGCTAAGGATGTAGGTACAATGAAATTATTACACTCAATTCACAAATATATTTAATTAATTACATATGTACGTAAATTATTACAAGGATTTCTTTTAAGTTTTTTAAAAGAGCATTTAACTGCAAGTTATTATAATATGTATGCATGTGTGTGTGTGTGTGTAATAGTAAACACTTTCACATAGTCGTAAATACCAAATACCAAAGTTCAAGGAAAAACTTCAATTTTGAACACATGCCATCTGTATGTAGCGCTATGTATGTATGTATGTATGTATGCATACATTTGTTTATCACTGTATTAGCTGTTGTCGTGTTGTCGTGAATAATTTTAACTAAAATTCCATTAATACAATATATAGTGGTGGTGCATGTTGCATTAGTACAAAAATGTATTTTAACTAAAAATATTTATATAACATTTCAATAAAAAATACATACATATATAGTTTAATACTTCCAAAAACTAAAGTTAGAAATTATTTTCATTTTAATTTTAATTTTAATTACAAGAGTTTAAGAAAATGGGCCTAAAAATAAAGAAAACTTCATTTAATGCAATAACGAAAGAAACTTTTCCAATTTCAATTAAAGTATTTATTTTACTTTTACGTGCTCGCATCGCAGGCATTCACGCTTTCCAAAATTTGTACATTTTGTCATCAGATGATCTGAGAGAGTGGCGGTAGTTGCAGTGAAATCGAAGCGATTGATTGTGAAGAAAAGATGGCAAAAAGCAAATACAAATACAAATACTAATTGATATATATATATATACTAACTAAAGTTAAGCGAACTGAATGTTCTTCAAAATTAAATATTCAATTAAAGCTTATTGAATTCCTTACGTGATTAATTAGTTACTGTAATTCAATAAGTAATTGCAAAAATTCCAAAATTCACTTCCCCCGCTTTTTGCACTTATTCCTTTATTTATCTGTTGTTGCAATGTTGAATTTCGATATTTACCGTTCTAGTTTCCTGCAACTGTGCACACTTCCGAAAGTAAAATTCTAGTTAATTTTTTGGAAAGACTGCGCTGCGCTGCGTTGCGTTGCTGCACCAATCAAAAGGCATGAGAAAACCAAATTTGAAAAAAGAAAATACCAAATCTCTTCCGAGCGCTTCTACTTTTCTTGGCGCAAACTAATATTTTTTTCTTATCGAAAGGTGACTCACAATCAATTAGCTCAAAGCATTTGAGAACGGAAAATGTAAAGATTAGAAAGCGCTGCTTACTTAAGATTTGAGAAATGTTGTTTTGTTGCCTTTTTACATTTCATCAAAAGAATTTCGGATAAATAAGTGCGTAATAATTCAGCATAATTTCTCGAATGAACTGTTTTTTTTTTACGAAAATTAAATTTCAAATACTTTTCCTCAAGACTTTTGTGTTCGATTGTGGAACTTACTTAATGCAGGACACCCAACTCAAAATCGAGCAATTTTCGAGTGTGTTTTGGGTTCGATGTACGTGCCTGCATATACATACATACATACATACATACATACATATGTATGCATGTTATATGTGATTTGAGTTTTCGAAAACTAAAGTGACCGAGGATAAAAGTTGAAAAAGTGTGTTTTTTAGTTTCCAATTTCGTTGGTATTTGTTGGTGTTTGCGAGATGCATAGCCATACATATTTTTTGTTTACTATAAACTAAAACAATCGCCATTACATACACTGCTAATTCGCAGCGGACTCTTGTCAGCTGTAATCGTCTGCGTGGTTTACGTGGTAGTAGTTTAAATTACACTTGTCATTGAACTTTTGCTAAGGAGGTAATACAATAATCGTTAATATAATCATTACAAAACGTCATTAAATTACTACTACTTTTTTAGATTTACTTTCACTATTGTTTTATGTTTTAACTATTGATTTGATATTTCCTTAGTTTAGCGCGATTGCCGTCGTCTTCCGTCTTCTGTCTTCCGTTTTCTCTCTTCTATCACTAAATTCCTAATTAATTTAGTTATTTTTATGTATTGCAAATTCTTTCTCACTTTTCGTTTCTGGTAAAAGAAAAGAGAATTTCTTAAAGAGCAAAGCGCATGGAGATTAATTATATAATATATTTACTAGTTTCGGTTTGTGTTTGCATTGCTGCGGTATTGAGTTACGTTATAAACACACACACATACATACACACACACGTATGTATGCATGCATGCTGCTTTCGTATGAATTCAATTGCTTATTGATTTTAAAATTAATTTCATTTATTTATTTGTTTATTCCTTTGTTTGTTATGCGATTGGTGGTAATGGTGGGTGAGAAGATTGCCTTAGACTACCAACTTCTAACTTTTTCTCGATAAAAGCGTCTCGACAACTGCTCTTTGTTTTATACTTATGTATGCATGTTTGTTTGTACGTATGTATGTACAAAATGTAAATTAGATCTAAGTTTATATAAATTATGCACTAATTTTTATGCAAATTCACATTACTTACACATTGCATTAAACATTAAAAAAATATTCCCAAAAATCATTTGAAAATAACAAATATTTTTTGGAAAAAATGTAATTAAACTGAATTATGGGCTGACTTATACCAATACACATGCATTAGCCATGCATATGTGTGGGGTATTCTTTTTTCTTATTATAATTTTTTTTTGTATTTTTGCTTAACAATTTTTAAATGTGCTTACAAATGACTATTTCTGTCGGGTTTGTGTGGGTGTGTATGTGTATGTGTTTTATGATTTACACTTAAATTTATGGGAGAGTAAATTTAAAAACTACTAATAGTATTGACATTCGGACCAAAGGACTTTGCACTGAGACACAAAAAAAAATATAATTTCGGTATGTACACATTGTAATTCAGAAATAAAATTGGTTGCTGTTGATTGGTTTGTAAGGAAAGGGTTTACGCTATAATAAGTTTTTTTTAATCATTCGGATTTTAGAAACTGCTCTTTCGAACTTCTACAGCATCATCTAAAACTCAATTATTTTAGAAACTTTTCGTGAAAATTCCTAAAGCTGAATTTTGAAAATCCAATTCGAGTTGCTTGAATTCTATCATTATAAAATGCAACTTTAACAGCGATAATTTTATAAGCAAGTTTAATTCTTTTGATATTTATATTTATATATACAAAAACGAAGGTTGCAAACCGCCAGCTCCTCGAACAAAAAATATGATTGCAAAACGAAAAAGATTTTAAATAAAATTTTTATTTCACCCATTTTTTTTAATAATCACTAGTTTTTATTTCCGTATCCGAAATATTCGTTTCGAACGAGTTTTCACAATTAATTTCACTTTGGTTGCCAAAGAACAATTTGAGTAAAAAAAAAAAAAATTCAAACAGACATTTTCATATTCAATGAGGGGGAAGCCGCTAAGATTGGCAGAGAATCATCTGAAAGATTTTTATGACAAAAGTGAGCAAATCTTTGCTCGGGCAAAAGGGGATATCAATGCTGTGGCCAATCAATTTCCTTAGAAAGCTATCTGTGGTCGAAGAGGCCGTATTAAAGGTTAAATTAATATATCCTCGAAACAGAGACTTAATTATGAAAAACTCAATAACAATCCAATTTAAAAATTTCAGCCAAATCGAAGCCCATCCAGCCCCCACCTATTACGCCAAATTTGGAATGACTGCGAACAAATTAAGCGATTCAAGAGTCATAATTTAAAAATAAAAATAAAGGCAAGAAGAGCGTATAAAAAAGAAGTATGATAAAAATATTATGGGAGCATTCTTTCACCGTTAGAAGCGTCGAAAAAAATAGAATAATATTAAACTTAAAATTAAATTCTTTTGTTTATTTCTTTAAACATTAATAAAAAAAGACAGTATTAATAGGAAAATTAAAAATAAATTGAATATTTCCAAGTCTGGATTGCCTTTCTATCGCTCTTTGCGTGCGAGTGTGAGGCTAAATATTTGTCGCAAACATTAATCAACACACTCACACAGCTGAACCTTGCGGAGACAAGCCTCAAAACTAAACGGAGTTACAATATACATAAATATATGTACGTATATATATCACAACACTGTGTGCAATGCGCTTCAAATGTAGATCATAAATGATCTACACTCTGAGCAATATCACAATTACCATGCACAGCAGAAGTAAACCATATATGATGCCTACTTCAAGGCGCGCGCACAAAAAGGCCGAAGCTTGCTCCAAACGAAAAATAGGAAAACGTCTAAAAATTAAAATTTACAGTTTAGACGGCAATAACTGCCGGTATGTCCATGACACAACTCACATTCATATGCATGTTATGTACATACTCAGTTGTACACACATGCACCGACTGCCTAAAACTATGCTATGCTTACAAGCAAATTTTGAAAGAGATCACATTTAGCGTTCCTTATGTAATTCGATTTTCAATAACTGTTTTTTTTTAATTTTTTTTATACAAATGTATTTTTTTAAGGTTTTTTTTTTATCAAAATAACAAATCTTCAATGTTAGCACTATTGCAAGAGCTAAAAACATTTCAGAAACAAATTTACGATTTCAATAAAGATACTTATGTATGTATGTATGTAGCTAAGCTTAACAATAATTGTGGAGCAAAAGTGAAAGAGAGTAAAGTAGAGAGAGTGAGAGAGAGAGAGAGAGAGAGAGAGAGAGAGAGAGAAGGGCATTCTTACATCTAAAATGATCACGCTGCGCTATTAAATGGGTGTGTTGTGCAGTTAAAATATTTATAAAAAAAAAGCTTTCTTAGAAAATTGTTTACGAGTTGGCTTAGTTGCAATAGGAAGCAACAGAGTTTGCAAAGAAGTCAAATTAATTAAGTCCATTAAATAAAAAAAAAAAGAAAAAAATGCGAAAATGCAAAACTGATTGCGCGCTAAATAGTTATGCCTCCAAGTGAAGTACACTTTCGGCATTGAAGTTGATTTGTGAGCTTTACGACAGGGGAGCAAAAAAAAAAAAAACATAACACTGTACCCAGTGCAAAATCAAACAATGTCCTTATGGCGTGTGTCTACATTATAATTACCAACTTAAGGTAAAGATGCTATGGTGAAAGTTACAATACAAAATTTATAACTTAATATCATTTGTATATATGTAAGTATGTTTGTATGTATGTATGTGCTACGTATACTACGACCTAATTAAGGATAGAATTTTCTTAACAAATTTTCCAAAGACAATTAATTGCCTCATTCCAATTTACATTTACATTATGTAATACATATTTATTCGTTCCTTTTGCAAAAAGTAGTTTCATGTTTATTGCAAAACACAGCAATATTTTTCCTTTAAATAATCTTAAACGGAAAGCAACACTGAGATGTGACATACCAACGCATACGCATAAGAGTGTATGTGTGTCTAAATGTGCCACCGATAAGTAAATAAAAATGATTGAAACACAAAATTTTTGTGATGTTTCGTAGTAGTAACAAAAATATTTGGTAAATTTTCTTTAAAACATTCTAAGCTTTTTTCAATTTCTCATAGCTTAAAGTAGTTATAAAAATTTCAAGTACGCACACATGCGCACATACATATAAATATTATATATTGTATGGTGTGGGCATACAAATTGTAGTTAAATCATTTCATTAAAATTAATTTACGGTAAATTGATTTAAATTAAGCTCAAACTAAATTCAACAAAATTAGTTTTAACATTAACATAAATGTACACACATTTTCAGTGATGGAATTTGCAGATTTAGAATTTTTACTAAAAATAATTCAAATTGATTTTTAGAGGGAAAATAAATTTATTTATTTGAATACCTGGGAGCCCTTTGCCTCGACATAACCTTTGCAATTTATTTAAATTTGTACTTTTTTTTATATCATTTTAGGCAAAAGTGTAACAGTAAAAAATTTATAATACTGCAAAATAATTGTATAGTAATTTCGTGTGAATATAATCGAATAATTGATATGAAACGCAGTAAAGTAGTTTTGGTATTTTTTAAATTTTATTAAATCAACTAGGAACTAAATTTAAATTGGGTTTTATTGCTTTCCTGGAATTTGGGTTTTTCGCTTCTGAAAGTTAAAATTTTTCATAGATGAGTTTTAATTGTATGGATGAAGTAAATAAGTATAATGTTTGGAAAACAAAATTCGAATACCAGAAATATGTTCCATTTTGTTCTGTTTCAGCACAATTATATTTTTATTCCATTGAAAAACAAACTTGCGCAATTATTCACAAAATATTTTAATATTGCCCAACGCAAAAGGCTCCACTCGATTCTGCACAATGCGAAAAATTAAATTAGACTACAACTAAAAAAATAAACTAAACTAAATGGACTACTTTGTTGTTTTTAACCATTAAACAGTTACTTCTGCAGTTGAAAATCATAATGATTATTATTTTTTAACTAAATAACAATGTTATTAAATGTCTTATACATTACTCTTTTATTTGTATGACGAAGAGAGGCCGCAGTTGTTTCGTTTTTCAAACGACTGCACTTTGAATTCACCTTTCCACATCTTTTTCACACGAATCAATCACATTTGCATTACAAAAATTAAACGCAATAAAACTCATTTGCCAGTTTTAATGCTTTTGCTACTATAAATATTTGTATAAAATTTTATTTTCATCTCCCATCATTTCAACATTTCAATTAGCTTGTTTGGTTAGTTTCAAAACTTCCTCACCGGCTATATCGTATTTCTGCTGCTTGCCGCACTGTCCAAATACATATTTTCTCTTCATTTGTGTATTTTTAATCAATTTCACTAATATTTTTTTCATTCGCCACTCTGGCAAAAATGCTTATTCTGCATAATTCATTATATTCATATAATTGAGGAATTGCTCCGAAAACAACTGCATGCAAGCTGCGCCGCCCTCTGACTCCCCTTGAACTCCCACAACACCGTTGCCGTCGTCGCCCCCAACTGATAAATTGGCACGCTCTGCTTTGTTGTTGCTGTTGTTGTTGGCTGGTGCAGCTGTTGTGGTAAGGGGTTTGTTGGGGCCGGCTACGCCGACGTTGCTGCTGGTGCGCCAAATGTTCGAGGCATCGCTAAAGTCAATTGACTCACCCAAATCGAACTCAGCATTTGGGTTGCTCATGACACGCAGACCATTGTCCGTATTGTTGCACCAGAATAGGTCTGTGGCGCGTGTTGTGTTTGCTGCGGCGTTGGGTATGTCCCAAATGTTGCTAATCTTGGCGAACTGCGATAAGTCCTCGGCTGTGGTGGCATTAGAGGTATCAGTGCCAAAATATTGTTGCAGTTTGGCGTTGGACCATACGCCAACGTCAATGGCAGCGTTTGAGCCTACGCCGGAGGAACATGTCGAGGATGCCGATGATGCAGTGGAGGAGCAAGTTGAGTTTGCGCTGGGCGATGTGGATTGTTGTCCACCACTGTCGCCACCGCCGTTTGCTGTGGCTATGGCTATGCCCCCCTTAGCAATGAAATATGTATCCCTGAGTTTTTTGTTGCTGTTGGGCGACGTTAGTGTTGACGATGACCATAGTGGCTCTTTGCTGTTGCTGTTGCTGCTGCGGTAATCCGGTCGAGTCGATGCAGTAGAGGTGGGACTCAGTGACGGCTGAGAGCCGGAGCCGCTTGAGCAGCCACTGGTGGATGAGGCGCCACTCGAGGCGGAAGAGGTAGAGCAGCCCCACAGCGATGAGATGGCATCCGCGGTGCCGGTGGAGTTGGCGAAGATGCTACCAGCGTCAGTGTTGCCGTCAGCAAGACTAAATTGTTTGGTTGTGGCATGCGGTTGACTCCACAGAGCAGTCAACTTGCTGTTGGCTGGTATTGCGGGGTTTAAGCCGCTCTCGGTGATGGCTGCTGCGACTGCTGTTGCGGTTGTTGGTAAATTATTGCTAATTAATAAATTACTAATACTGCTACCGACACTATTGTTTGCTAGTAAACCGTTAGAGCCTACATTGCGCCCTAATATCCCTACCACCTGTTTCTGATTGTTGTTATTACTGTTATTTGCAATAATATTGTGTGCTTGTTGTTGTTGCTGCTGGTCGATACCACCAGATTTAATCGGACTCATTTCATTAGCAAAATTATTCAAATGCAAATTACTTAGATTACATTGTTGTTCACTTAATTTTAACGGTAGTGCTAGTGTTGCCAACATTTGTTGTTGCAGTTGAAGCTGTTGTTGTTGTTGTTGCTGCTGCTGCTGTGTTGATTGAGCATTTGCACTTGTTGTTGCGGCAGCTGCCAAGCCGGCCAGGGACACACGAGCAGCCGCCACATTCGGTGCAAACGACGAGAGGCGTGCTTGCTGCTGTTGCTGGCCCTGCGGGTTTTGTTGTTGCTGTTGCTGTAGTAGTTGTAGTGGCTGTCTTACCTGGTTTGTGTTGTGTAGTGTAGCTCCGCTACCGTTGGCCGCGCCGCCAGTGCTTTGCTGCTGCTGATATTGCTGGGCATGTGGATGGGCACCGATGATGTCGGGATTGATCTGTTGCTGCAGTGGTGCTGAGTAGTCAATTGATGGATTATAGAGCACAATTTTATTCGCCTGCATGTTGTTGCTGTTAGTATTATTATTATTTCTGTTATTATTGGCCGTTGGAGCGGCAATGCTGGCTGCGTTTGCTGCTGCTGAAGTTGTTGTCGCGGCTGTTGCAACTGCCGTCAGCATTTCTGTGGACTCCAACGGGGCCTCATGTTATGCGATGGACTGATGGCGCACAACATTGCTCTTGGTGTAGCAGAAGCTCAGCGGCTTGACAAAGTGCGTGTCCTGCGTAGCGCAATAAGGACAAGTAACGCAATGCGAATAGTCGCTATAGAAGTTGAGGCGCTGCTGTGGGTGCAAGAGCAATTTGAAGCAATTATTGCACTGTAAATAATAGCGAAAAATAGGCAAAATTAGAGAAATTGCTTAAAAAATTAGTATATATTAAAAACGTGAGAGAAAATGTATGGTAAATTGAAAACAAAAAAAATTATATAAAATACTTTGCTCCTCACTCACCTTAAGACGCTCAGCACAGCATGGCATTGCGGCGAAAATATCATATGAATACATGGTGCCAAGGACTAGATTTGAACCATCCCAAATTTCACCGCAGAATCTAAAATTAATAATTTATTTTTTTTTTTTGTTTTAAGTATTACATGAAGAGTTGTTGCTATCGTAAATGTAGATATGTATTAATATACTCGTATATACATAAGTACATTTCCATTATGTTAAAAATGAGAATTCTTTGTTAATGGATTTAACTCACCTGCAATTGATGACACGATTGGTGGAGAGGCCATCCAAGCAAGCCATGCATACGCACGTTAAAAATAACGGTCTGCCTTCATACTTCACCTAGAAAAACGGAATGAGAAAATTTTTAATTTAAATACACAAATTCATGCAGAGAATGCAGAAAGTTTTTTGTCAGAAAGTATTTATTATTAAGCGCCTGAAACTATGCCTCATTAGGGTGAGGTGCTAAGTGCTAGTGCTATTCTTGTTGCCGGGCATTGGGGCTAGCATTTGGCATAAGTGAAGTTTTAAATATGCTCTGCACTCGTAGATTTACAGAAACCAAATGTATGAAATACAAAATACACGAAATATTATAGGATTACTTTTTGTAGCACAATTATTGCTGAAAGAGTGGTAAAGTACAGAAAATTGGAAGCTTTTTAAGCAGTTTAAGGGAAGCGAGGAAGTGAAGAGACAGCTGTAAAAGTTTAGCAAGCTGAATTTTCATGGTGATGCATTCAGACGGTTGTATGTATATTTACATATATACATATACATGTAATATGCATCATCCACCGACTACCACAGTCTGATATATTAACTTGAAATAACGCCAAGCAGAAACTTCCTTATGACCAAATGGCACAGCGACAACAATAGTGACAATTACGCCCACAACATCAAACAAACAAGCTGTACGGTGCGGATGCTGTGCTCTCCGCCTCGAACTAACCATTCATTGGTAGGTGCAACTCAAGCCCACATACAAATACATACATACACACACACATACGTATGTATGCGCGTGTGAGACTTTTAAAAATTCATAAAAATGGCAGCCGGCAAGATGCATCAAAGCGGCAGAGCTTGTGGCATGCCAATTGTCTGGTGTAGCGAATGACAGCGACATATAACCTTTTTTAACAAAAAGCATTTTGCGGCGTGAATATACAAACTATGCCATAAAATGAGCTACAAATATGAGCTTCTGCGGCTCTAATGTTTACATTTTTCTTATAAAAATTCAAATAAATATGTTAACATTAGATAAAATAAACCTTAAAACTGCATTTCAGACTTGCTTAATTTTGAAAAATTTAATACGAAATACTGAACATTTATTTAGGTGATTTTCGAAGCAAACAAACAGTTGGAGCTTGAATTCAATTTGTTCTTCGCTGTAAAGAATATAAGTGCATACCTTTGCAAATATCAGTGCATGTGCGCTTAAGTTAAATGACATGGAATTTGCTTTCATTTGTAACAGAGATGAAGCCCACAGAGAAATGGGCACTTTCAGATTTCGGGATTTTCCGATGCCGGATGTGGCTGTTTCTGCCTAAAGACCATGCTATTGTATGTATGAATGCATGTTTATAAATATGTGTATGCATGGGTGTGTCCCTTACCGTTGTGCAGGTAGAAAGCCTGAAACTGTGTTCTTGTCAAGCAGCCAAGTCAATGACAACCGCATGTTGGGGTCTCCAGACTCGCATTTGTGTAATTACAAAGGCTTAAAGAGATTATATGACGCTTCGTAAGAATAATTTTGTATGTATGTGTCTACGCCGGTGATTTGCGTGCAATAGGCGTGTCGAACTTTTACACTGCTCCGTTTAAAGCGACAATGCCAAATATGAAAGGAGGGGCGAGCATATAATTTGGCAAACAGCAGGCGTATTTAGTGACATATATATGTACATAAGTACTTACAAATAGAAAGCAGGAAGTTAGGAAAAATCATTAAATGCTCTCTACATTTCTAATAATAGTCAGAAAAAACTACAAAAATAAAATAAATAAATAAAAAACGATCAAAACTATTTTCAAATTTCTTGAAATTCACCGTGGGTGGTTTTAACGAATTTGTTTTCTCTCTAGTAGGGGTCATTGGACTTACCTCAATACAGCCGGTTGAATGTTGCTTCGGACTTAAAAAGAATGAGCCGTCGACGAGTGGATAACGATCGAACACGAGCATCGGCTCCTCGCATAAAATACAAGCGACGCGACTCATTTGCGATTGTGCCAAAGAAGATAAGATGAAGAGACGAGTCTCGTCGTTACCATGGTTGCCTTCGTCTTCGATCTGCAATAGTTAGAAAAAACAGAGATTTTCATAAAAATAAATTTATTTGGAATTAGCAAAGAAGATATATTTCAATGAGGTATTTCAAAAGTGTAACGTTCATATGTTTCCACGCACTGCATTTCATACTAACAATTTTTACGAAAAATATAAAATGCGAATATTCGAACAAAACTCGGGAAAAATCCGCTCGAACGACGTTAGCGAGGTACACACAAGTCATGCTAGAAGACTGAAAAAAAAAAAATTTTTTTTGGCGGAATTAGAACCAATTTGAAGCATTTCTTATTGGAATTAGAATTATATAATATTTGCCAATGCAATCACTTCGAAATCTCCTCAACCTCCGCATTTTCACCTATTGGACCAATGAAGAGTTCATCTACCTTAACTTCTTCACAGCCAAACAATTGCACATACATAAGAGAGTAATACAAAATATTTAGTACCAAAGGAGCACAAGCCACAGGCACATGCGCCACGTATTTGTTAATAAAGCAATAACCGACCGTAATCTAGCGGTAATCGCTGTTGATGGACACCTGAACGTTGTATTTCTATTATTTTTCAAATTCCAAATTACATACATATATTGCGCGTATGTCAGTAAAGGCATTAGTCGGTGTCACAACTATATTGCATTTGGATGGGTATGTGTGTGTGTGAGAGAGTGTGTGTGACTTTGATACAAATCAACATTTTATACATCTAAAAAGCAAAAGTATATTTAAACATACATCGCCTGTAATATATGTACATATGTATGTACACTTACGTTTGAGTTTGAGTTTAAGCATATGTTTCGCCTTAAGTAACGGGAATTGTTGCATGTACGTTCACATATACATACACACACTTATTCATTTTTCAGTCTTTCACCTTCGTGTGCCATGCTTGTTTGCGAGTGTTTGTTGTTGGTTTTTTGGTTAAGGACGATACTTTCTTTTCTATTACTTTATTAACCACAAAACACGAACACACTCACACACAAACGCAAGCTGCCTTATTCTTATCGATTATCAATTTGGGAATATGTTTATGTCAGCGCCGGTCATATGTAGACACACAACGCTCCTACCCAGAGAGATCCAGTTGAGCAATAAGGATTTCCCAACACGTTCATTCATTTTGTCTGCAGTTCTCGCTCATTCCAGACGTGAGGGAAATCCTTTGTTATAGGTTCCACCATCTTTTTGTGTATGGTATGTTTGCACGTACATACATATGTATGTGTGTCGCCCAGCACGTTTCGTACATTGTGTTGTACTTAATACGTTTCTTCACAAGACAACACAATACAGCTACTTATGCGAATTCAATTTAGCATAACTTAACGGTACCTTGCTGAATCCAGGTACCCTCATCCTCATCTCCCTCCACCCTCAACCGAGTTAAAAAGCTTTCACATTTGTGGCTTTGGGTTCGCCACTGCAGGAACATTTGTTTCGATCGTTGCATTTTCCGTCACGTTTCGTCTTTATAGTTCTGTTTTTTTTTTTTTGTATCTGGCTTAGCAACAATTTTGCGGTTTGAAGTTAATTTCACCTTCCCCTTCAAAAGTCTACTTTATTAGTAGTTCAATATTTCGAGATTTGGTCAGTTTCTTCTACACCGATTCAAGCAGCGGTGAGCGCTGCATACTTTCACCATCATGCAAATGTACAATTTTGAGGTTAGGGAAACCTGATTGATTAAATAGTGCCGAGGTGATCCGATCTTCGAGCTCTTGCTTGCTGGTGGATTTAAAGTATGACAAACTTCACAGAAATCATATTTGAACTTACATACCGACAAATATAGAAATAGGATATAGGTATGTACATCTTTGATAATATTTATGTGCTTCTTGGTCACCCGGGGTTCTAAAACTTTTCATGCGAACTTCCTTGACTTGTAAAGAATGTTTTTTTTTGGACGAGTGGGTTTCAATCAACTTTTTTCGGAGTTGGTATTTTTGACGGAGGAATACTTGAAGTCGCTTGTATATGCAGAAAAGCCGGAGACGATTGAGGCTGAGCAAATCTCTATAATAAAACTAAGTTCTTGGCCATAACATTTTAGTTTCATTTCTTCTTGAAAACCATCTCCCTAAAATAATATTCTTTTTGTTTATTTGGAGCTTTTTTTGTGATCAATCCGCTAGAAACCGGAAATTGAGCCGCACGAAGGTCATATAGATCTTGGAGATATTTCTATAAATTTCATTTTCGATGCGATATTCATAACCTTCTTCTGGTTAGAAGCCGAAAGAAAATGAAATTCGAGATCGCTTTCTTATTGTAAAAATTAAAAAATAAAAATTTACTTTTACTTTCTGAAATTGATTTAAATGAGTCATACATATATATATCTACAAATGTACATAAGTGCAGTGCCAATTCATTAAAGCTTAGATTCGGTGAATATCGAATAAAAAGCAGCGAGATCAAAATAAATGCTGATAAGCAAACGATAACCGAGACTGTGAAGATGACTTCGGACGCTGAGCGCGTGACTGCGTGTGTGCGCTGCGTGCAAACAAAAGCAACAAATGCATATTTACTTAAAACACACTCGAGGAGTGCAGGAACATGAGGAGAGTCCTCCAGACATATTTGCACAATGAAATTAATGGATTTGGGGCTAAGTAAACACATTGCGGAACAATCACGGTCAGAGTGAAGTGGATTGGGGCGGGAAGCGAGTGCAAAAACAATACAAACACACAAAATGAAAGTAAAACAATAACAATAAATTCGATTAATGAACGTTCGCACTAATTTTGAGATTGTAGCAGTGTGAGTGAGTAAGACTGCGCCTACTTGAAACCACTTTCCTTTTTGGCGTATTTATTTGTCATGCGGATACTTAGCAAATGCTCGCACTCAATATATGAGAGGACAATACCGGCCTGTAGAGTAGTGTAAATAGAATGAAGGCAGATGAGCATCGCAGTAAAACCAAGCTGTTGAGGATAATGAAGGCGTGGCTGTTGACATTTATACTACTACGATTTGTTGTTGTGCACGGGTAAGCAGGTACGGATGTATGTATATTATCTGTGTCCTGTCCCTATATGTAGGTATGTATATTATTGTCGTGGATATTTGATGAAAGGAAGTTACAATAGATTAAATGATTTCTATACGACCAACAACAAAGTTTACAACAATATAATAAAAATAAATATTTGCTAAGGAAGAAGAACAGCAGATAATAGAGAGACGCCATGGATGGTAAAGGCAATAAGTGAGACAATAAAAAACAACAATAAAGCAGCAGCAACCAAGAATAATGATAAATATTGCTGAAAAGAGACAATGTTGTGAACACATACAATCAAACTTATATAGCAACGCAGCTGCTGAGAAGATGCATTTTTACTTTTGTTATTTTTTAAGGATCTTCCAACTCCTTTTGCAACATACATTATTGCTTTTTAATAAACTCCACTTCACTTAACAATTCAGTTCTGTGGTAGCTGCTGCAGCGACAAAATAAACGAGAATAAGAAATATGTATTTGCTGTAAATCAAAAAAGAGGAGGATCACCAACTGTCTCTGCCACACAAAGCACTCCGAAAAGTATGAAATATCCTTGCAGCAGGGAAAGAGAAAGCGCTGAGGAAACACAATTTATGGCAGAGCCAAGCGTAAAGGAATATTTTTAATGGATTACTCCAAACAATAACAAATCCCGAAACGCACACATCCATAACCTTAAATTTGTGTCTTTACTTGTGTGTCTGTGTGTGTGTGTCAAACTTTATGTTTGCTTTGTTTGTAACTGTGCATTAAACTCAAATCAAAGATAATGTAAATAGTAGTTAAGCGTAAAAACTGCTAAATGAATTAAAAGCAACAACAAGAACATAAAATCATAAATCTATATTTCGACAGTTTTTGTTTAGAGAGCAAAGCGCGAAAGTGCTGCGAGCGTTTGCCATTTAAAAGGCCAATGTGTCTACCAACAGCCGATAATATACGACTTTGGGAATTCAACTGGCAACAACAACAACAACCGGAGACTTAGAAGTGAAGAATGAAAAGGGGTGGGGAAAGCGAGAAGTGGAAGGGCGAAAGGGCAGAAAATTGAAATGCAATTTAATTTAATGTGTTTATGAGTATTGTCTTTACTGTTCGGCAAGTGGCCAGCAATAAGAGTAGTTGATGGTGATGGCGAGGCAACAAAAGGCTGCCGGAAAGAGTGGCAGGAGAATAGTTAACCGTTAACGAGTGATATATTAAAGCAAGGATATGTGGGGCACTTTTTGTGTGAAGGGTGTGCTGAGTGGCATCCTCTGTTCTGTAGTTGCTATGCTCGCTGTGGAGCTGGTGAGACCAGCGAAGGAGTGTGATAATATTTATGTGAGTAGGAAACGAAGAGATTTATTTATTATTGTTACTGCGGATTTAACATTCAAAGGTATTAGCAACATATCTGCATTGATGTACATATTTACATATGCATGTATGTAAGTATTTATGAAAATAAGAACAAATTCACTTAAGCAAAGATAATGAACTTAAAAGTGCTTAAGTCGAAAAGTATAACACGAGGGTGGCTTTTAAGCACATAAATACCGCTACTCACGCAAAATGGCGGCAGTAAATTTAAACTTCAACTCAATTGGTGTATCAGGCATAGAATAATTATTTAAAATAAATGTTCCCATAATTTTTACAAATCCAAATTTGAACTATTGCACTGTGCTCGATTTTGAAACTTTTCTTTTCGACAAACCTATTAGGTATACCTAACTCGGGTGCATTGAATTCAACTTCCAATTATTCGGTATTTAATAGTTTTTTGGTCTATTGCAAAAAACATTGCTTTCTCAATCAAAAAGCTCCGATTCAGTCGAAGTTCAACGAGCCGGGGCTTCAGATTCGCTATTTATGAATCCACAATCCTGCTTTCAAAATTCAAAATGGTTGATTATGAATCCAGTGTTGGTTTGCTCAAATTCAAAATGAAGAATTTAATATGGCTTCCCTTGAAACCCAACACTAGAGGCAGA